GGGAATTAGAAAAGTTTTCTGGATCATCTAAATCGTTTTCTATAACAGCTTTTCTCGAGTGAGTAGAAGAACTTCGTATCGCTTGGCATGTTCCATCAGAAATATTATTAGATGCAGGTGTTGATTTATTTTTAGACAAAGCATATTAATTCTACAAGGATGTCAGGCTCCGTGCTCACACTTGGAGTGAATTAAAGGATGAGTTCAAAAGAGAGTATTTGACCGCTCATCGTACTGATGATTTCCTTGATAAACTCAGGAAAAGGACACAACATTCGTCCGAGTCTATAGGTGTTTATCTTGCTGTTATGTCTAGCTATTTTAGTAGGTTGGGATATTTTGTTCCTGAAAATTCGAAGATGTCGATTATAATAAAAGAAATTACACCCTTTTTATCAAGATAGGTTAAGAGATACACTTCCTAGTACTGTAAAAGAGTTGATACAGGTATGTCGTCGTATGGGGGATAGAAGCGATGCTATAAATAGCTATGTTGAACCTAATAGTCGGAGAAGTAATGTTTTAGAGAGAGATTTGGCTTTCGTTGAGGTTGACACAACACAGCAAGTAGATCGTTTGGATGTAGATAGTACATCGATTGGTAAAGTGTCGTCAGTTATTTGTTATCGTTGTAAGAAACCTGGATATCGAGCAATTGGTTGTGTTCTTCCCAAGCAGCTGAAATGTTTTAAATGCCAGCATGATGGATATACAGTAAGGACTTGTTCAATGTTTAACCAGGGAAACGAGGTCAGGCGCTCTTAACTGGTCGAAAGAATAGTGCTGTACAACGTTCGACCAAAGTTCAACCCATTCTTGACTATATTTTGGATCATGCAAGGGATGTTGAAAGGCCCTACCTTAAGGTAAATGTATTTGGTTTCGAGTTATTAGGTCTTTTGGATTCGGGTTCGTCAAAGACAATTGTAGGTAATACTGGATAGAAACTTTTGCACACTTTAGGTTTAGAAGTTGATACTGCAAAGAAAACTAGTAGGGTTTCGAATGGACAGATGTGTGAATGTATTGGTGAGTGTTTGGTTCCGTTTTCTCTTCGAGATCAATTAAAGATTATTCCTGTTTTAGTAGTGTTAGGTGTTCCACATGTTCTTATTTTAGGTGCTAAATTTTGGAGAATCACGGGAATTGTACCAGATCTTAGACATAATGAATGGCATTTTTCAGAGTCGTTCGTTGCTATTGCCACAGTAGATCATCTTAGGAGCAGTTTTACGCTTGTTGATTTGCAGAAAGCTCGTTTGGATGCTGTAATTGAGCATAATAAAATTTTAATAAGAAATAGTTTAGGTTGTTCTAATGTTGCTGTACACACAATTTTTTGTCATTCTCCGCCCATTAAATAAAAATATTACCCAGCTTCTCCAGTGATGCAGGAACATATAAATACGGAGTTGGATGAAATGCTTCGTCTTGGTGATATCGAGAAATCTAAAAGCCCTTGGAGTTCGCCGATTCTACTGGTGAAGAAGAAGGACGGTACTTTCCGCTTTTGCGTGGATTATCGCAAGTTAAACGCTGAAACTAAAAGAGATAGCTACCCTCTTCCTTATATTACCAATACTTTGCACAAGCTTCGTAATGCCCACTATTTATGCACATTGGATATTAAATCTGCGTATTGGCAGGTGAATGTGGCTGAGTCTTCAAGGCCTTTTACTGCTTTTACTGTCCCTGGACGTGGTTTATTTCAGTTTAACCGAATGCCCTTTGGACTCCGTAATGCCCCTGCGACGTAGCAACGACTTATTGATCAAGTTCTTGGACCCGAGCTGGAACTTAACGTTTTTGCCTTTCTAGACGATGTAGTAATCGTTACTCAGACTTTCGAGAAACATTTAGTTATTTTAGAGGAAGTTAGAGGCGTATTAGGGAAGCCAATTTGACTGACAGTTGGGATAAGTGTTATTTTTGTCGTCCGCGTTAAAGTATTTAGGGTATGTTATAGATGGGAATGGTCTTCATGTGGATCCTGACAAGGTCAAGGCTATGTTAACGTTACCTAGGAAATTTGTTTGGACACCAGAGTGTGAAGTGTTGACAAGATTAGAGAGTGCTTGGTAAAGGCCCCTGTGTTAAGTTGTCCTGACTATGATTTTTCATTTGAAGTGCTTCGTGATCCTAGTGGTTATGGACTTGGTGCTATCCTCGTTCAGATTCAGCCAGATGGGGATCGAGTAATTAGTTATTTGAGTCGCTCGTTGACTAAGCAGGAACGGGTCAAATTAAAAGTCTTTAGGTGATGTTGCTGACGATTGGAAAGAGGTAGTGCCTAAGGAGGATAGGCGAGGAATTATGCAACAAATGCATGATTTGCCTTTAGCTGGATACATGGGTGTGTCGAAAACTTTTTGCGTATTAGTGTAAGGTTTTATTGGCCCAAACTTAGGTCAGATGTGGCTGCGTTTGTTAGGAATTGTTCGGTATGTGCAGCGTATAAGGTTGACCAAAGTGGTATATAAGGACATATGACACCCCAATCCAGAGCTACTCGTCCATGTGAAATTATTTCTACAGACTCGATGGGTCCATTATCTCGATCCATGGCTGGCAGTAGATACATTTTAGTCTTTGTCGATCTGTTCACTAAGTTTACGCTTTCTTTTCCTTTGAGATCTTCTACTGCACTAATAGTAGCTAAACGAATTAAAGGGGGTATTTTTGTTGTTTGGTGTTCCGCGTTAGTTGCTTTGCGACAACGGTCCACAGTTTACTTCGGAAGGGTTCTCTTCTTTAGTGAAGGAGTATGAAGTTTCGGTACGGTTTAACGACATTCTACTTTTATTTTTCGAATTTTCAGACTACTTGGGCACATTAAAATTATTTTAAGGGGTCAAACGTCAAAAACTAATTTTAAACCGTTACGGATCTTTATTGTGCACTTATGTTGTTTGACCAATTTTTCCAAGTCAAAATTGGATATCCTACTTTTATTTGTCGAATTTTTTCACTACTTGGGCATATTAAAACTATTTTAGATGGTAGTCAAACCAAAGTATATTAACCGTTGAGTAGCGACAGCTGGGGAACCGAATTCTAGTGCGCCGACGCGAAATAGAGAGGCAAGACGTCTTCTAAAGATGTAAACAACCCCTTTCACTTTAGTCCGGCAGCTGATATAGGAATTCGTTGTTGTGGATTTATTAGTGCTCTTTTATTGTGTTTTTGTTAAGATTTTTTGGGGTTTTGTAGTAAAATATTTTATACATTAAAATTTAAGAATAGTGATTTAAAAAGTCACGGTTCAATAAAAAGCAAACAAGGTACACGTAAATTAAAGGACTTAATGCATGAATTAAACATTTACCTGTTTAAATACCTATTTTTTAATAAATAATTTATGATTTACACGTGGTTTCAATCTCTTTTTCCATTGGCCATAAAAAATTCATTAATTTTTCGGGGATATGTAATTAGAACCAAATAAATAACATAATTAAAATCTTTTAAAATAAACGATTTTATTAGAGTCGTCAGAACACTAACATGAAAAAATATGCACTAAAAAGTGAACAATATGTAAACCTGACAAATAACTGCTAAAAAAATATTCGTAAACTAATTAACGCACTCAAGTAGGTACCCAGTAATCTTGCCTGATTTAAACCATCATTTCTGCACTATCTCAAAGATATATGTGCCATTGACAAAAGTACTAATTCTTTTTGTTTAATTAAATAAAGATCTGTCCATTCAATTTACTGCAATTTTGTGCAATTTTGTTGATCCGGTGACTAATAAAATCATTTACCTTAATTAAATGTCCATTAAATTTATTGATAACTTGAATAACAACATTATCACAGTATTATCATTTATGCGTAATTATTACAAGACTTTTTTCCTGATAACTTTTCGCAATTTAATTCCTCAAATCACAGTCAGTGACCTCAAACATACCAAATCCAAGTTTGAAATAAATCGGCTCATCAATACAAATGTCTGCCAATTTTATCTTTGTTAAATTCAAGTTAAAACTCATATTTGGCGGGCTTAAACATCCCCAAGTTTAGGACAATTGGTTCATTAGGAAAGTCCGCCATTTTGATATTTTTATGTTTAGATCAAAAATTGTATTAAGACCACCAAGTTTCTAGTTTGAGACAAATCGGTTCTTAAACGGAAAAGTCCGCCATTTTGATTTCCTTGATTTTTTGTCAGAAATCACAATCAGCGACATCAACTTAACAACCCCCAAGCTTAAGTAAATCTATTCATAAGTAGAAAAGATTGTCCCCTATTTTGCTATTAACTACGAAAGCGTAGAGGGCCACGGTGAAAAAAAATGACAGTTATATCTTCCATTAGTGCTACTGCTAATTGACATTTATATCTGTCAATAAGGCTAATTCATAGTTCTGTCTGTTAAGTTAATTGACACTTACATCTGTCAATTAATGCTAATTAACATTTACATCTATCAATTAGGTCTAAGTGTCAATTAATTAGCATTAATCCGACAGCCAGAACTGGGATTCAGGCCTAATTGACAGATATACCTAAGGCCAATTAGTAGTAATTGACAGCTAGAACTGGGAATTAGACCTAATTGACAGATGTAAGTGAAAATTAGCACTAATGGACAGATATCACTGTCAATTTTATATATTTTTCACCGTTTAAAATACAGCGGTGTGATTCGGTATATTACTGGACTCTTTCAATTCAATTCAAAAGTATCCGAACACCGAAAAAAGTGTCCGACATCCAGATACTTACAATCTGGGTCAGGAATATAGAAGTATTCGAATACTACGCAACTCTGTGTCCTAAGCATAGCTTGAATCGCCATTTCCAACCTTCATAAGTTACGATCATTTTGTTATACTCTGCTTATTTCGCGGTTCATGTTAGATTCGCTAAGTTGAATTAAACTAAGAACAATAGAGGTAACATAAAATCTGTTTAACTAAAATCTACAGAATAAACAAGCAAAAAATTCATACTTGGCATGCAAAACGATGGCAACTGAAGTAACCTACGTCTTGTCTCTGCGGGTCCAGTTTGGCTGCTTGTTTCCAAGGGTGGTACAAGGCACGCCGATTCTTCGCACATCCTGGTTCTTGTTTTTTTTAGTAGTTATTATTTGACATAATTTTGATTGGTTACCTGAATAAAAAGGAATAATATTAATATGTTAAATGATATCATTCTAGTAGTTTATGTTATGAGCCCATTACTTAGATCTTTACATGAGAGCACGTAGAGAGCAGGTAACGGGCGTGTAACGTACAACGTTTTATGGTATACTGCATTTTGTAACCAAAACTCAAACAAAATTTTATCATTTGGCACCATCATTATAAGTTTCCCATTGATCTGGCAACCTAGGGATACGACATACGTAATCGGAAAGTGGCACCGGTCCGCCATTACTGTGAGTGCAAATTGTCAAATTTTATAGGTTATATTTTAGTGTCATTTGTGTTAATAAATTTGAATTTAATTTGTATTTGAGCAAATTTTGAGTGTTACAAACCTATAAAGTTTATAATGCATTGTTGTGTTATATGTTCCTGGTCTAGCGATAGTCGTTTTTGTAAAAAATCGACTGGAATAACGTTTCTTAGGTTAGTATCAAAATTATAAATATTATACAGGACAGTATTATGACATGTTTGTATAAAATGTGTAAAAGTATGCTTTTAAAAATGCAAAAAAATATCATCTATCAACTTTTGGGCCTACCTATATTGGAATAATACTTTTTCATATGAAATAATATTTATAGATTTCCAGAAAATCCTGAACAACGTAGCGCGTGGATATTTTGTTAACAGGCATAATTGGGAACCTTCTAAATTCAGCTGTATATGTTCCAAGCATTTTCTTGAGAAGTACATTAATTGTACGCCATTTCGTTTATCAAATTTAGAGGCATTTTATTTTTTTATTTCTATTTAAATATAACCTACATTTGCTGCTTCCACCAGTTTTATTTATATTAGTTCTAGAGCTGATTGAAAAGTAGAGCTTCATGTTTTGTGTATGCATGAGTATTGTTTGTTTTATTATAGATAATGTAAAACAATATTAATAGATCTTTTTAATTGCCTATAATTTGTTTCAGATTAGTGCATTTAAAGGAATTGGTGAAAATGAAGCGATTCGCTAGCTTTGGGGATGTTCCAGTAAAAGTGACATCGAAATTATTCAACGTTTCCAGAATAAAGTATTAAGGTTGATGTACCCTTGTACTGCCACAATACTGATCTTCATAGGGACCTTAAAGTTGAGACTGTTGAAAATACAATACAAAAATTTGCCAGTAGGTAGTCACCAACAACGACTGCTCCAACATGGAAACCTCGAGTTTATCCAACTCCTCAACAATGCCAATCTAATAAGAAGACTCAAGAGAACCAAGCCTTTTGAGTTAGTTATGTGATGTTAAAGCAGATTATAGTGCAGTTAAGTGATTTAGACTCTAAGGTATACTAGAGAGTAGAATATCAGTTTGTGAAGTTGTTTATCCCTTGATAAGTTAGAATAAAATTTCTAATTGATCTTTAATGATTAGATTGTAATAATCATAAATGTTTCTTTAGTTGGGGCATTTAAAAAAAAAAAACTATTTGCTTCAGATTAGTGCATTTAAAGGACTTTATGGAAATTAAGTGATTTGTCTTTATATTTTATGAAACAATGTTTAAAAATTATTTATTTGTTTGTTTTAAGAATCAATGTTTGAGTTTTGTGTATTTTAAATAGACATGTGTATTTATAAATGTCTTTTTAGTCTAATAATATTTTAGAAAAAAAAAGCTAGAATACATTTCTGAAATATTACTATTTAATATCTCTAAAAGATTTCAAATTTTTATTTCAGAAATATTACTGTGAAATATTATATTTGCAGGATATTTTTACGTTTCAGGCGCATTTCAGAAATGTTTCTGAGTTGTTTCGTAATATTTATACAATTCAAATATTTCAATGTAATATTTTTGAAATATTTCCGAAATGTGTGTGCTGTATGGGAAAGTGCTCAAGAATAAATTAAAATCGAAAAATGCATTAAGAAGATGCTTCTCATTCTTTTATTCCTAGAGTGATAATATCTGCTAATCGACTTAACATATCTCTCTCCCACAGAATTTAGTAGTTATATTTAGATTTTTCATTAATTATTATTAATAATTTAATAACTGTAATATGTATTATTGTATTGTTTTAATAGGCTCTGGTCCATACATAAATCATATACCTCCATTCAAAAATAAAAAAGTATTTTCTGTTGTACGAATTTGAACACTAATAAATACTTTCAAGTCAGTTAATAAATAGTTTTTAAAACACTTGTAATATTTAAACATTATAAATTCATAATTATATTTAATTTTGTTCATATTAAAATGTTATTGACCTGTTTATTTAGTAATAATACCACAAGTGCTATTAATATAAGCAAAAAAACACAAAATTATATAAAGAATAAAAATCAAACACAAACTCATTTCTTCAATAATTTTCGCTTAACTATTTTATCTAAAAAAATTCATCACACTAATTTTTGATCAATTTAAATTAATCTGACATTTGTTGTCACTGTTGAAAACCTACCAACTATTGCTGCATCTGAATATCCACATCTGATGCATTTTTTATGTCTCAAGCATTAAATTTGTTTATCCACATTGGACACATCTACTACATCTGCGTTTGTTTATCCGAGATGTAGCTGTCTAGATTACATTTTTTACATCTCTAAAATGATCAGTTACATATACAGGATGTTGCAAGACGCACTATACAAACTTATATATCACATTTTCAAAACTTTTAGTTGTTTATCAACAATAATTATAAACGTCAGTTGACTACTCAGTACTACACTTGTCAACTACGTTTCCTTTTTATGATAAATTTAAATTTGCAACATGCCTTTGCTGTTTTTGAATTAATAATATGCCAACATAGTGTAACTTTAATGATTTTGTCATGAATATTCGTGAGCTACTTGTATGGAGTGTTTCGACATATTTGAACCCATGGCATACTATGTTAATATATCTTTTGATATTTAAACTCTTGTAGCTTGGTAACCATGTAGAATTGGATATTTGTTCATAGGACATTTTATGCTTGAAATGAATTTAGGAATATGATATTTAAGTTTGTACAGTGCATATTATGAACACACTGTATCTAAGTTCTTATAATAATAAATATTTTATGATGCCTTGGTAGGATTCCCCACTCGACCATTCACTGTTGGGTTCTAATTAAGAGTACTGTTCCTGAAGTGGCGCTGGGAAACAGTAACAGAGCCTACCCAGAACACACACGATTGAGAATTTAAACACAAGCTTGAGACTGGCATATTAGGTATATACACCTAGGCCATAAATCGAAAAAAAAAATAACATCATTACTCACTTAGTCTTTTTACTTTCCTATCTGTATACAGATATAAGGAAAGTATAGGAATCATGATTTTTTTCGACCTCGAGTTTTCGACGGATTTTTACGTTTTGAGGTCCCCTGAATCCGTTTTGACTATCTTCGCGATGATGTCTGTGTGTGTGTGTGTGTGTGTGTGTGTGTGTGTGTGTGTGTGTGTGTGTGTGTGTGTGTGTGTCTGTGTGTGTATGTGTGTGTGTGTGTGTGTGTGTGTGTGTGTGTGTGTGTGTGTGTGTGTGTGTGTGTGTGTGTGTGTGTGTGTGTGTGTGTGTGTGTGTGTGTGTGTGTGTGTGTGTGTGTCTGTATAACGCATAACTCATGAACCGATACACGGAAAAACACCAAATTTCAAACTTAAGCTTTGTTCCAGCGTCTAATGAGCTGATTAGATTTTGGGCAGAGTCGGAACATCTGGGGGGTACTTTATAGGTTTTCATTTTTATATTTTATGGAATATATCTGTTATTTACGTTTGGGAAAGAAAATTCTTCAAATGAAAATTACTTCTTATTTTATTATCTATAATTTTTGTTATATACAAAATTTTCCTAAAATGGTCCGTATTCGCGAAATTTGACAAAATGTAAAAAAATATTTTTTTTTTATAAAAATTGTTCAAACAATAATAATATAATTCTCTATAATTTTTATCCTATAGATAATTTCTCTAAAATGGACCGTATTCGAAATATTTGAGAAAATGTGTAAATTTCGAAATTTGAAGAAAACTCAAAAACGGATAAAGAAAAAAACATTAAATTTTAAACTTAAGTTTTATTTCGGCCTGACGTGAAATGATTAGATTTTGGACAAAGTCGGAACATCTGGGGGGGTACTTTATGGGAGGCCGTTTTTATATTTTATGGAATATATCTGTTATTTATGTTTGGAGAAAAAAATTGTTCAAATAAAAGTTACTTCTTATATTATTATCTATAATTTTTGCTTTATGTAAAAATTTGCTGAAATGGTCCGTATTCGAAAAATTCTGATTTTTATGAAAATTGTTAAAATAAAAGTTGTTTGCGATATCGATCTCTATAATATTTGTTCATACATGATTTTATTAAAATGGACCGTAATGGAAAAATTGTAGGAAAAGTGCTAAATTTAAATTTTTCATTATTTTCATTTTCAATGAATATCTATAGAAAAATGTTTCGCGGTAGATGTATGTGGACAATGTATATATTTAGTTTATCCTCTAAACATTTATAGAGATGCTGCAATAGGTTGTACACAATAAACGGAAAAAGCCTGTAATAACTAGATAGGAAAGTCATGTGTTGTACACATCAGATTTTTTTAATGTTTAGTATTAAAAATAAATAACACTCATAGATATGGATAAGAAAATATTAAAACTTTATTCTTTGTACACTTTTATTTAATCACAGCACACATTATTTGCATTTACAATATTTGCTTGACCTTTTCTAGCGACTTTTTCCTGCTAAACTTTGGTCACTATTCTACTTCCAGGTAATGAATTATTCAACCATTTAATCAACAACGAGGTTTTACTTATTTTACAGTAAGTTACTTATCTTTAATGTTCAAGTTTTAGAATTTGAACTTGGCTTAGGCCATTTTCATCAATTTTGTTCTTAGAGCTTTTGAAAAAACACTTGGGAAGTACTATCACAAATTTGTTTCTTATTTTGCCTAGCGAAAAAATTGTGTATTATGAAATATTCTGGTTTTTA